CAATACTATAACTAAAATATATAAACCTGCATGGTATAACATATAGAAGTAGAGAGTGAACCTTTGCATAAGCACTAAAAATGACATATTTCAAAATCGACATTTAGACCATACGGGGCTAGAGAATTAAACTCAAAGATAAACTTCATTTCTTCTTTTCCTAATTTTCTAATATAGTCTCCACCCCTCCAATCCCTTTTAACTTCCTTGATGGCACAGAAGAATAAATTACTGGGATCCTGATCATGCATTTCCTTAAAGTGAAGGGGAACACTATGTGTTTCTAGTCCGTTTCTAATGTTTCTAATGTGTTCTCCAATCCTTACTTTCAATGGTCTAATTGTTCTGCCTATATATAAAAGATCACATGGGCATTTCAAAATATATATGATACCTTTTGTGTGACAGGTAAGGTGGTCCTTTATGCAATAGGGTTTTTTTACAATGTGTCCTATATCTTTCAGGTGTCTTTTTTTACTTCTAGTTGTTCTACAGGGTAAACACATCCCACATCCATAAAAGCCTTTTAGATCCTCTAGAAAATGGCTGGGTTTTTTGGGGCTAAGGCAACTCTTAACTAAGATGTTCTTAAAATTCTTTGCACCTCTATAGATAATTTTGGGCTCCGGCTGTAAAATCTTATTAAGGATAGGATCATCTTGTAGCAAATAGTGATGTCGCGAACCCGAAATTTTCGGTTCGCGAACGGCGAACGCGAACTTCCGCAAATGTTCGCGAACCGGCGAACCGCCCGAAACGCCATTGACTTCAATGGGAGGCGAATTTTAAAACACACAGGGACTCTTTCTGGCCACAATAGGGATGGAAAAGTTGTTTCAAGGGGACTAACACCTGGACTGTGGCATGCCGGAGGGGGATCCATGGCAAAACTCCCATGGAAAATTACACAGTTGATACAGAGTCTGGTTTTAATCCATAAAGGGCAGAAATCACCTAACATTCCTAAATCACAATGAATATGGATTGACACCTGACATATGACATATTGACACCTTGACATATGGATTGACACCTGTCCTCAGAGCCCTGATGCACACGGACACAGAGCAGAATAGAGACTGGTCCCCCTACATAGGGTCACTTGGCAGATATGGATTGACACCTGTCCTAAGGATCCCTGATACACACTGACACAGAGCAGAATAGGGACTGTTCCCCTACATCGGGTCACTTGGCAGATATGGATTGACACCTTGTTACAAACTGCTATTTGTAACGGGCCCTTTAAATGGCAAATTGCCCTGTTTCCCTGGGTTGTGGAGAAGCCTCTTTGCCAGCCTCCTCCCGCATGACTATGGCCCCTGGGAGATTGTGAAAATGTATGCACTTTTATTTGGTGTGTATGGCCCTTTAAGACTGTCGGTGGGCATATTGGGGCTTATGGACTCTTTATGTGACTGGTGCTGGCCCTTTAAACACCTTTTTTGGGACATCAGGAAGATTGGGACACTGCCCCTTTAAGGCCGTGTCCCCAGACTTGTTGGGGACACGGCCCCTTTAAGACGGTGTCCCCTGTGTCCCCAGACCTGGTGCAAACCCTTTGTGCCTGCCTTGCTATTTCCCACTTGGGTCAGTAAATGGGAAATTATTTCAGCTGCAGAGACTAAGTCCCATTCGGCGATGGGACTTAGTCTTTTTTTCAGCCGTTTTTTTCAGCCTTATTTCAGCTGCAGAGACTAAGTCCCATTCGGCGATGGGACTTAGTCTTTTTTTCAGCCGTTTTTTCCAGCCTTATTTCAGCTGCAGAGACTAAGTCCCATTCGGCGATGGGACTTAGTCTTTTTTTCAGCGTTTTTTTCAGCCTTATTTCAGCTGCAGAGACTAAGTCCCATTCGGCGATGGGACTTAGTCTCTGCAGCTGAAATAAGGCTGAAAAAAAGACTAAGTCCCATTCGTGATGGGACTTAGTCGTTTTTTCAGCC